CCCCCTATAAAAGAGAAACGGAATTTTCGGTTTCGAAATAAAGATAAAATAGGGACGAAATATCAAGACTATGATGAAATATTAACCTAGAGACAAAATAAAATTAAGGTATGAATCATATATTTATAATAATGAAAGAGAGAATTTTGTCGGGATGTAACATACAGTTCAATCAAGTACTTTTTTTTAACTGCAGAATAGGGTACTACCGCATCAAATATGATTTATTAACCTGGGGCACCATTACAAAATATTTAAACAATACAGCTGGACATTATGAGAATATAAGTGTCACCAATCGTGCTAAAATCATTGATGATGCGTTTCATTTGATGAATCGTCAGCTCAACATATCTGTATTTTGGAATCTCACGCAATTCTTATCCAAGAGACAAATTTTGTAGTGTGGTATCCAATGATTAGTGTTTGAATATATGATAGTGTTTGAATATATGTCGAATTTAATTCTACTTTTCAGAGAAGAAAATATGTTCACCGATATTATGATAATGTCCAATGGATGTGATATTTAACAAAGATTATTAGTCACCAAAAAAAATTTCTGGTTGAAATCGGGTAGCATCAGAAGATTTAGGAAAAATTTATTAGAATTCTAGTTGAGATAATTGAAATAACTGAAATTCTATTGATACAATATTTCTGGTAAAATCTATCAGAATTCTTATTTTCACCGTAACAATATTATATTAATCATAAAAATTATATCAATGAGTTATATCGACTAGATTTCTAATATAATATTTAACCAGAAAATTGTGATTCATCCTCCTTCTAATTCTCAAATTTTTTACGAACAGATTATTACAGAAAGAATGTAGAAAGATGAATCCCTTTTTGAAATCATTATGATTAATATAATGCTATCTATAATATTGTGTTTTATTACCCCAGATAGCACATTATATTCTGAGAATATACTAAAAAGGTCACGTCTGATATTCGTATGATATTCCTATGTCCGCAGCAACATTGTTCGCAGCATATCCTCAGAATATCAAGACGAATTTCGAAAATTTTACTTAAGAGTATGTAAGAAATATCTATTAAAAATAATGTTCTTCGCTAACAAAATATTATTTTTATAGGTTAAACAGCCAAAAATTAGCTGCTATAGCCAATTAAAAAGGCTATGCCATATTTTACCATCTAATTTGCTGCAACAGCCAATCTTTTTTTTCAGTGTATGATCGCGATTAGTACAATCGCGACTCATTCCGTTAAATTTATCGCTTGCAAAACGGCTTCTTCCCGGTCCGAACGACGCGTCAATTTCTCAACGATTTAGGCTGCTTTCCTTTTAGGAGACACAGTCGACACACTTGACACAAATCGACACATGTCGCTTTCCATTTACAATTTTGTTCAAACTCAATCGACACACTTCGCCTCTGC